TAAATTAAAAATGCAAATATAGAATATTTGTTTGTTGTGTAGAGAAATTTTTTTATCAATCAAGAGAGGCTTAAAAAACATATTCTCATGATCACATATGCCTCGGAAAAAACACTGTTTTTAAGTCCTTCAATGATATAAAATACATCTTACAATCAACAAACAAAAATGTCTTTTTATTTATCTAATGAATTCTCATTAACGTTAATATAATCGTTCCCACTGTAACACATTTATTGAATTAACAATCCCATACAGGAATCTGGCTGAAAATAAGTTTAACAATCACGTGAACTACCAGAATTTATTATTGAATTTCAAAAATAGAAAATGATATAAAATCTTTAAAAAGTAGTCTCGTCAAGAAAAGTTTGAAAATTATATTTCCACTGAAAATCAAATATATTTTCACGGATACATCAGTAAACACTCCAAAAGACATAAAAATATTAATGACTTATGTTTACATATCAAACCTTACTTCAATCGACAATAATACCCCAAAAAATTGAAAATTGAAATCAATATTTCAAGGATTTAAAGTATAAGTCAGAACTACAGTAAGCGGCTAATTGTTTATCTTTTATAACTTTTGTTGCTAATTTAAGTTTGAGTCATCAGCAACAGCCCTTCTTGTAAATCAAACTGGTCTATCAAATTTTCCCTTCTATGTATATTCTGCGCATATTTTGTTGACATAATGCGTTCTGGGTTGCTATATGCGTTTTTTTTTCATTAAACATATATATATTTTACTGCATAGGAGGAAGTAGTCTAGTAACGGTGTAAACTCCCAGAAACGATGGTTAGGAAACTACCCTCCTATATGACGTAAAAGGCGTAAAAGAAACAAACAAACAAAAAACATGTTACTATTTAAATCAAGACATTAAATGCTTGGTGAAATGTTTTGATATGATCAATACAATATCAAACATCTCGGCAAAACTTGACACTAACAAACACATAATAAGTAGGTAATTAACCTAAAAAAAAGTTAAATACAAACAATTATGATTCTTGTAATCTTTATTGTTGTTATTGTTGAAACTTTGATAATATCGGACGAAATAAACTGAAACCAACTATTTTACTGGGACAATTTCTTTAATGAATTTCTTCACAAAACAAATTTGATCTTTGTGTAATATCAACATCTTAATTATTATTGAAATTTTTACAACTTGTACAAAACTATTTTTTACTTTTCATCAGCTGCATATTTTTGTTTACATGTCTAGTAAACAGTATTACACCGTGCCACCTTTTGTGTATTATATTGTTACTTTTCATTAGCTGCATATTTTGTTTATGTCTATTAACAGAATTACAACACTGCCAACCTTTTGTGTATATTATTTGTTACTTTTCATTAGCTGCATTTTAGGTTTACATGTCTATTAACAGAATTACAACCGTCCAACCTTTTATGTATTATATTTGTTACTTTCATAGCTGCATATTTTTGTCCACAATGTCTATAAACAGTTATTACAACCGTGCCAAGGTTTTTGTGTAATTATATTATTTTTTTTCATCAGCTGCATTAATATTTCGTTTACACATCTATGAACAGTATTCAACCGTGCCAAGGTTTTTTGTTAATTATATTAATTTTTTTTCATCAGCTGCATAATATTTTTGTTTACACATCTATGAACAGTTTTACAACTGTGCCAAGGTTTTGTTTTATATATTTGTTACTTTCACGAGCTGCATAACATTTTTTTCTTCAGCACTACCATACTAAAGTGTAATACATGGTTTTAATGAACAACTTTTTATATTAATTGATTGTAGATCTATATCATTTGAAAATGAAAGTAATTGGTAGATAGAAATTTGTAATGAATTACAATAAATGTATAATACTTTTTCTATGAATTAATGTAGAAAGTTGAAAAAAGACATTTGGGGTCATACTGCTGATTCACTGAAATTTAAACATTATACACATATATTTCTTGGAGTTCCAAAGACTTCTGTAAAGTTTTACCAGTGTCTAGCATAAGTTTCATTTTTCCTTGGTATCTAATGTTTATGAAACTGCATTTTTAATTATTTTGTTCGTACATTATAAACAGTTTTCCATAAACATGTTTGCCTATTAAGTGTACCAAAGTAATATTTACGTACAAACTTTTTGAAAATAATATATCGGTATTTAATAAAAACATTAGTCAAAATAAAATCGTGATTTACAAATATTTAAGTTTATAATCAATAAGAAGGTTCTTGTTGACATCAGGCTGCCACAGAATATTGAGAAATCTGTAGTATAGATATACACTTACCATAAAGTGAGATACTATAATAAAGTACTGTTAAAGCATATACATTGTTGTATTATCTGCATGACATAAAGGTTGCCCAAATCGTCTTTCCAGGAAACGAAAGAGTTAAAACATCAAACGAAATAATGCAAAGTACAAAATCATGCCCGTACAAGCGTTGCCTATCTAACGTAACCGCAAAGCTTATAAGGAATAATGAAAAATAGATCACCCCCGATAAATCTACCCATAAGAATATCTGGCCTCCATTGAAACCCATATTATACAAGCTCCATTAGTCCCATGTGGCGCCCAAATATTGGTTTACATGGCTGCCCAGATTGGCCCATGTGAATCCCATATTGTGATAAAAGGGCTGCCCAGATGACCCCATTTAACCCGGTGCCTCCCCATGTGGGCCCATCAGGGCAGCCAAAGGACCCATATAGGTGCCCATATGGCCCCCACAGGTCCCATATTAATCTATCTGCAACTAGAAAATGCCGAAAAGTTAAAACTAAATACCACAAACAACATCAATGTCGTGCCTATCATCTTAAGGGATCGAAATATACATCTCTATGAATTACGGGCGACTTACAACCTCCACACGGCACAAACAACGCTGGTGTGGCGATAAAATAGAGAAAATAAGAATCCCTAAAGAACCTTGTTAAATGTAAACCTTGTTCTCTATCATACCGTTGTAGTGTGTATATTAAACTAATTAGATAAAAAGCCCAGGTTTTGTTAAGCCCAGAGAGATAGCACTTTAAGATCGAGACTGTACGACCTTCAGAAATAAAGTTCTGCGATTTAACAATACCGATTTCAACGCTTTTAATTAACATACAGGTACATAACATAATCTAAAGGCAGACTGATTTAAACTAACTTTTTGGCAAATACAAATGAACTTTAATTTGTCTTGTACAAATGTATATATAATCAATACAATCTAAAATGCAATATTAGATCACGAAACGAATAGATTCTAATGCCATCCCTAATAAATCATATAAATATACATAATCATTTAATTCCATATAATGATCCCAAACATCGGTCGTCCGGTAATCATATTTCATTAAAATTACTCTCTTTTGATCGTTAATCACTGGTTTTTAAACAATCATCGGTTTATGAGACAAGTGTCCAACCGACGAAATTCACATCTTATCTCATTTGTTATTCAGCATCCACAAATAAAACATCAAATATAATTCTTCATGATTTCAAAACAAGTTGGAACAAACAGAAAACCAATTTATTCGAAACAGTTATCACAGAAAATCAATATTGCCAATCTCTTTTCGAAAAAACTTTGAAAATGCTATAGAAATGCTTCATGCCTAACATGGGAAATGAGGGGGGCCAAATTCGCCAAACCGGACAAGGTAAAATTTAATCTTATTAAGCCTGTTTACAAGGAACTAAAAAACAGAAAAGATAATAAGAATTATGACAACAATAATTAGTTCAAACCATTAAAATATAAATATAAGTTGAATTTAGAAACAGTCTACAATTTAATTGATTGTTCGAAATGTTATGTATTTAAAACTAGTTAATTGTTATGGTGTTGCGTTGGTTGTGTTGTGTTTGTGTTTTTAAATAAAAGAGAGAGAAAGATAAAATCACTCAATACCACAATTGCTGATTCCAATGGTATAGAACTTTCCATTGTTGCTCTTCAACTTTTTTCCGTTATGCTTGCAGAAATGTTTCTTTGCTGCAATAGTTTGATGAAATGTCTTCAATCATGTAGGAAGAAGTAAAAAGGCAACCTGTGAGGAATATGTACTATGATTAGGTGTATGTTCATTATTCGAATATTAGTTATTACGAAACATTAGGATAAACCAATAGCTGTGACACAATGATATCGTTAACAAATATCACGTGATCACCCAAACTGGCTTTTTTGAAACAACATTAATTATTGCAGAAATGTTCTATGTGATATAAAGACGAATTTAATCAAAATTCTTGCATCGAAAAAAACAAAACAAACAGAAATGATTATAAAATTACCAGAAAAAAGATAAGCATCTGGTGATTGCAACAACACGATGTGCATTAGTTTTACATTTAAAAAGCTGAGCTCTAGTTTTGTTTATTTATCCTTGTGTATTAACATCAATGTAAACGAAAGCTTGAGATTCACTCTAAAACTTATGCTCCATCCTCACATTTTTACGTCACGTGTAAAACATTGCTTTTTATATTCATTTTTAAAGCAGTGAGTGAACAATAACTTTTAAGCTCTTTGTTATCTTGACTCTAGTTTCAATCGGAAAATGGCGAAATTAGCCGATATTGCCGACATTTGATAAACCTATTTGACCTTTTATTGATAAAAGAAACTGAGCCTCTCCTCTCATTTTGCACTTCAATTGTATAAAATTATCATTCACCCGACCGAAATAGACGATAGAATGTACACTAGCAAACACTCGTTTAAAGATATCATATACTTCTGTACAAAAGAAAAGAGATGTTTTACAAGACCAATTCATTTTAAGCATCCATTTCTTTAACTGCATTAAGATTATTCTTTGTTACAGAATGTTTGATTATCAAGTATGGTCAAGAGATCACTTGAATTATACATAATATTATATGACTTATTGTAATTTTCCATAATGTACCACCTCTTCTTTCAGTGCGTTCGGTCACTAAGTTGTTTAGTGTATTTTAAATTTAGATGTTACATTGCATATGATGTGCAAATGTACAAATATATTTGTTAATATTTATCCAAACAAGATTATTCTAAGGTTAATTTACGTAACATTTACCTAAATATGGCTGTGTTAAAAAGTTTTGTTGTGTGCTTTCTGGTATGTACATATATTAGCGTTTTTCTGTTGTTTTTTGTTGTTGGTTTTTTTGGGGTTTTTTTTTGTTTTCTTTTTTTTTGTTTCAAAAATATTTCATTTTGTGTTTTTGTATGCAATTTATGTTGGCTATGAACTACAATATCAGTATTTTATTGTTTCATGTTTTTATTTATGCCTTTTTTTTTCGATCGTCGCTTCTCTGTTAATTATCTAAATTTTGAATAAGAGAAATACAAATACAAAATAAATGATGAAACATTCATTTTCATTTGCTATGTCTTTATTACCTTTTTGTGAAATGTTATTGTTATTTCCAAAAGGTCCGAAAGGCCTTCTGAAAGAGATGAGCCATAAAATAGTGATGAAGTTCTTTTTTCTTTAAGATGCTGCCACTATCAGTCGCATGTGCCAACCAAACAGTCTATCATACTATGCTCTATGTGAAAATACTGAATTATACAAATACCGGTATACTACAGCGATCTGGTGGTAACATGCCTGTATCTACATCAGGATCTGGTGGTAACATGCCTGTATCTACATCAGGATCTGACTCGTGCTGTTATAAGATGCCGTTACAAAACTGTGCCCATTTTTGTAAAACTGTCTTCTCTATTTGTATTGAGAGGTAAGGTGTTGATTATGTAACTGTTCATATATGAATTATTTTCATTGATGTACAATGTAATAGATTTATAACATTTTCCAGCTCGTATGATGTCATCGGAAAACCAATCCGGACTGCTATGTTATCGAATAAAAAGAATTATTAGTTATTCTATATTTTGTTGGATAGTGTAACCAATACAAAAATACTTTGTAACAGGACAAACAAGCCAAATTAGAAAGCACCATTGCTCAGATCATGCTTCAAAAGACCGTTACTTTCAAACTAAACTTCTATTATTCCCATTTTTTTTAAATGTATAGCTTTCGATTTGAATAGAACCTTCTAAGCTCAAAAACCCTAAAAGAAAAAAGCTTTTGCTAACTCAAATAAGCAGTCAGTCAATAAAAGTGATTTGAATAATGTTTACATATAACTGAACTTTATTTACATCCTGAAACTACATGACCAAAACTTGAATGAAGGACTGTGAAGGTTTCAGATCTAGTGGTAAATAATGAATAAGTTAATTCATGATTAGAATATTGAAAACTGTCATAAAAATCTTGCTATAATTATACTAAGCATTTCAATAGCTTTTTGATTATTCAATACCTTCAATCACTTATCTTATATTCAGTTTTTCGTCATTTGTCAAACTTGATAACTACATTCCATTGTTCACGTGATTAAAAGCAAGATCTTCTTGAAATTGGGGACCAGTGGTATTTAATATTATGAAGGGTGTAATAATATTTGAAACAGAGATAACATCAAGAAACATGAAAAAATAACCGTTTCAGGTTAGGTTTAATCTCTTAACTGTAGAGAAGGGAAAAAATACTTTGAAGACATCTCCAACACCCCTCCCGACACCGTCTGGAACTAAATTAAATCTTCTTTGGATTCAATGAAACGTAAAACATTGTTTTACTATTTTTCAGTAAATGTGACACATACCTATTCAATATTACCTATAACTACGACACTGGTAGAATTTACGACGAGAATTATGGCGTCGAGCGGCTCAACGTTCAAAGCATCAGGGTAAATACTTGTGTTGTATACTTTTGATTTTAGCCGTGTCATGGCAAAACCAACGTTATGCGTTTGCGACCAGCATGGATCCAGACCAGCCTGCACATCCGCGCAGTCTGATCAGGATCCATAATGTTCGCTTACAAACCCTATAACAAGTAGAGAAACTGATAGCGAACAGCATGGATACTGATCAGACTGCACAGATGCGCAAGCTGGTCTGCATCCATGCTGTTCGCAAACCCATTATGTTGGTTTTGTCATGACGCGGCTAATATAATTAATGGTATAAGTTTTGTGTATTGAGGGATAGATGACAATATAACACTAAAGAGATATGGGTATCCTTCGACAGTTATTGCCATCTTTTTAATGCCCGAACAATTTCTGACTTTTCTACAAAAAAGCTTAGAGCGCGAGGCAAAAAGAGACAGTTCTCACATTCATCAAATAATCGTACTTTTTGTTATGTTTTCATCTTAAGAAAAACATTCTCTATTTCTGTATGTGCAGGTGTAACCATGTTTTTTTCAGGATCACTTTGAGCACAAATAAAACCCCTTGATATCATCTTAACAAGATGGTAATGTAATTCAAAAGCTTGTTTAATGAAAAAAAGCTCTTAAAATAACGTGTATGGACTGCTTATGTCAAAATAATTGCAACTGTAAATATGAACTCTTTTTTTTCAAAAATATCATAGCTAGCCTAAAAGATATTCTTTAAGTTATATGATTTTTCTATTTTCTTTTTTTCAGGATCAGACAATTAATATTGACGTAACTGAAGTTAAAACAAATATACGGACTGGTTTGACCATTGAGTCCAAAATTGATAGCTTTGCCACAAAGTACAGTCGACCACCGTCTGGTTCCTTCTGGTTAAGCCGAATGTTTACTTTCAGACTTCAAAACAATGCATCGTCGTATGTGTATTATTCACTCGGTGTTTTGATAGAAAATAAAACTGAACTATATTAAATGAGATAATTTCTATCATTGATATGTTTAGAGAACAAGCAAATTATCAACACTATCAATGAATATCTTATTCATGCACATTATGCCTCAGAAATCCATATTTTTATTCTTTGGAAATGTCAAACACGTGTTTAACGATGTTTTGATATTGGATTTAGAGCAAATTAGGTGTTTAACAACTGAGGAAAGTTGCGCTGAATGTGCAGTAATGTGTCGCAAAAGTAGCAAAATGTAAACAAAGTAGTATTTTGCCTTCCAAGCAAAATGCACAATCACTGTAATTATACCCATTGCCAACAGAAGGAGAAGATACATCTATGTTGCAACTGTAACATTTAAATTGTAACTTAAAACTGTAACAAGATACTAAAATCAAAAGTTTTTGAGAAATAAAAATGATATCATTTCTGAGGCATAATGGGCCTGTAAGTAGCAAGCTCCGATAACCTGTCTTGGATATCATTCTTATCAATGTAAACATATCATTCGTTGAAAAGAAGGAAACAATTCAAAGACAACATTCATGCTAAGAAGATGTAATAACTTTATTTTGTTTGAAATTCGGTATTTTAAAAAAATCAATATTGAACATATTCTTATATTAATATTACAGGATAGATCTACAAAAAACAGCGTTTTGTGAATCAAACTGGTACGATCCTCGACAACACTGTTCCGAAAATATACCGACAAATAATCTTCAAAGTGTTCATTACAACTTCAGGAATAGAACGTTTGATGCAGAACTCGATTGTACGACTGAAGGTAGGAAAATAATCAGTATTTAACAATGTCAACTCCCTCAATCTTCATTTTCATTATGTAGCCTTAAAAGTAATAACGATTTTAGAAATGACATCCGATATGTTTATGAAACATGTATATTGAATGTGAAAATTATATGAGCGGTAGAATTTCTGAATAAACTATACATTATAAATTTTACCTGTTTTATGTGATTTACAGAAACGTCAAAGATCACTTTTATAACCAAAAGACCATACAAATTTACCAAACAGATTCTTGAAGCACAACTTTCAAGGTTTATAGCTGACAGAGTCTGTTCTTCAATAGCTAAGGACGTTTCAATACAGATCCAGAGTGTACGCTATGACAGGTTTGTATTAAACGAGCAGATATATCTTGCTTTCATGAGGACCATATATTGAAATGAAATTACTTGTATTAAATAAATATTGTATAGAAATAAACCATATACATGTACATATATAATACTGCATTGCACCTTGTTCATCAAATTCTTTTGAAGTGATTATTTCATCAATACTGTTCCTTTTATTCATAAGTTAATAATGCATTTTCATGTTATAGTTCTGGTTTGTTTTGGGATATGATTTTGAAATGTCTTACAAGACATTGTATTATTTTGAATTATCTGCAGTATGCAGGCTGCATAACCTCAAATCCCCTTTCAAAATTCAATTTTATTTTCCTCCGCCCATTGATATTTCGTTTAGGGCGCTCGCATTCTTTTACTTGGGGACAATACGCTGCTTTTCATGGAATGGCACTACTGTGTCACATTGAAGGTTCCATGATAACCGCTGTATGAGCACATCTAAGGATGTTTCTAAATTCAACATTTTCATCATTTTCGTGTTTAAATTTTGAATTCTGCTTAAGCCAGTGCTAGAGGCCATGGATGGTTACCTGCACTTTCCAGAATCGTCCATGAACAGGCTCAATCAAACCGAGCCTGCAATTCACATTTTCAATTTTGCCGTTTTGGGCTTTCTTTAGGGATTTTGTTTTACTTTATTTTGTCCGCACATTGTCCTCTAAATTCGTTTTTGAATTATTTCAGTAATTTACTAAGAGTTGTGTTTAGCAGCCACTGCAATCTGCGCCATTCGTCACTACTTTCAATAGCCAAAAAGTTTATCGAAGTATCCGACCTCAAGTTAATGCAAGCACTGATGTTCCTGTCTTCATATGAGGAGAGACAATATTTCATAGACCCTGTTCTGCGTGATGACTTCAGTAATGCTCACAATCTGGTAATGCCTCTTTCATATACAAATATCTGTATGTGCTATGTTTATCCATGCATCTATAAAAATGACATTGTCTATCTCGAGGAATATAAAACCTTCTAAGTAACATGCTGATGTTATTGTAAATCAATCATTAAAGGTTAAGTATGTATGCATAGCGTCAAATTTATGCCATAATTATAAACATTTGAACAAAATGAAAGAATGAATAATTGAAAAGTGTAATTATTTTTCTGTTGTATTTTTATCCACTGCTAAACCTCTCGTTATGTTTTCAGGGTAATTTTCAACTACTTTTACGACTAAAACGATTCGAGAATCCTAACAACATATACTTCACAAATGACTTCAGAGGATTAACAAAGCAAAATTGTCCAGCACGTGGCTGTACACCGTCTTTTCATTTTACATACCAAGGGTAAGTGATATATGAATAAAAATGTAAGAAGTGTAATTAACTAGTACTAAATAAAATATACATGTACCTATATAAGACTTGAATAATCTTATAAAGACGGAATGCAGTTTTAAATGCTATACGATTTACAAAATTTTAAGATAAAATGCTATAAGAAATGTAAAGAGTTGTTAAAACTACAAAGTATCAGATTCTAAGAAAATACTTATTTGTAATAAATTATGAGAAATTAATATTTAGCATATCTTACTCTGGACAAATCAACGAAGTTTCAGACTCTATCGTGAATCTTCTTATTGCACCAGTATTGTTAAGTCAAAGAAGCGTACCAGAAGGTGGTGCAAATAGATTCTGAAATTTAAATAAAATAAATTACTCTAGCAAGAATATGTTTTAAAGATAGCAAATAACTCATTGCAAAGTGTAAGGTAAATCGTGGTCTTGTGTCATTTGAATAAGAAATAAATCACGATCGTTAGATATGAAGCATTTCAAATGTATAATATGTGACAATTAAGAACAAGGACTTTTTAATTTGAATTCAAACGTGTTTGAGAGAATAGACCATAATGTAATAAACTCGGCAAAGACGTAACAGACGATCAAATTTATAAGATCAAATTTATTGAATTTAATAGGTTGCCTTTTCTCCTTTCATGTCGAATTTCTCATCATTTCTATTGTACTAAATATGTGTGATTTTGTTTAGTGAAATACGCTAAAATATTAAGTTGTTTCTTTAAGTATGGTGGAATATTGCCGTCTTATTCATAATTCTCTTTATTAATTTGTTGTTGGTGTTGGTAGTTCACCTTTCGGATCACTGAAGTGAGCCACATTGAATTTACCAAAGTACAGCTCAGCCATCGCATCGTTCAAAGGCAGGCTGTAAAGTAGTTTACCAGTACTAGTTGTCACCACTTTCGCAATGAACTTGTTACTTATTACTAGAGCAGAGACACTGTTCAAATAACCGTAAAAAGGTATTTATGGTCATTCACAACGAAAGTGACTTCCCGGGTCGCCATATTCACAGTTCAACGCTCGACCTATCACGTTATTCGGACGATTTTAACGTCAGTGAATTGTTTTCAATTTTCAAATCAAACCGTGGCTATCTAAATGGGAGAATAAAGCATGCTAAATCAAAAATGGGCGAATCCTAAAATCAAATTCTAACAGCTATGAATGGAATTTATCCACACATTTTATTGAATTTTCAATTTCGATTCAAGATCCATGTTACATTGCAGAGGGTATCTGCTTTCGCTTTTTGTCTTTAAGTCAGTAAAATTTAGTTAGTCGGCTGCTGCTGAGTCATGGTTCTAGTGAAGAATGTGCAGAGGACATTTCAGGCGAAAATAAAGCATTTTAAGGGGAAATTATCCCTATTTTGGGCTAGGGGAAACAGCCTTTAGTTTGCTGTTAAATATAGAGAAACACACTGAACGTTTGTTAATTGATCGTATAAATATAGGTATTGGGATAGATATGTCATTTTTCCATAAATTATATTTACAATAAAGGAGGAGTGTATACAAGATTTCCTTTACTCTTAACGTAATACCTTAGTTTATTTCAACTATAAAACTCTTTTTAAAGCAAATAGTGAAAATACTCTGATTTTTTGTTTCATTTTCATTACAAATTTGCAGCGTTGAGCATACACTTCGTAAACATTCCCCGGCTACTAATCTAATGGATTGCTTTGGGAACCTTGTTGACGAATTGAATCCGACGGAAAAGACAAATAACACCCTGTTTTGGCATAGCAGTAAAACATGGGTAATTGTTTCTTATTATTCATAAAACCTTATGCCGATGTTTTAAATCATATGTATTTCACACTTATTTAAGGACAATATTTCCTTACTTCCAACGATAACTTAGAGATTCACCTTAATAAAGCTGTCTATCAACAAACGTATTGGCCTATTTTTGGTCAAAAAGTAAATCTATTTACCCATTTTATCAATACAGCACAATTTCTGTAAATGCATAAATATTTGCAATGTCATATGGCTTTATTTTGCTAAGCTAAATTTATTAGTTTTTTGTATACTCACGAGTGCCAGCATTGGAAATTAAAAACAAAAGACACCAAAAGGAAGGAAAAGAACATGTACTTATTTAAAAGACAAATCACATTTAGATTCATACCAGCATACTATGCTGAGAAAGAGTTACCTAATTAAATATCATATATTCGTGTATGGACAATATGGATTATGGTATTTAACGCATGCCATATAAAAAGTAAAGAAAAGAAAATAACAGTGGTGTCAATTAATTACTAAAGTAAGTCATTTAAGTGGTAGTTGGGCATAGCCACCCGCTGGCATGCTGTCCTTCAAAAGATTGACAAAACCATTTGCTAGTGGTGCGTCCGGGTCGTACGATTCGCACATTGATATATATTATTCACAGTATAATATTGAAGACCCGGACAATTCAGCTTGTATTATCAGTCGAGATCACAGAACTACAAAGCGCCATTGAGTTGATTCATTCGGTGTACCTTTTTATTGTTTTTCTATTGTAGCTTTATTGAGTTGAATGAGAATTATCGTACATATGCATACATTGACTCTATTTCTCTGTAGAATTATCTATATAAATTATATTAAATGTTCATTTTTTGTAATTTATTGTAGTTTTATTACTATAGTTTTTATTGATTTACCATAATTGTATTTATACTGTTATCATTAATATATCGCAAATTCTTAGGGAACATGAAAATATTGAATTTTAATAATACGATATGTACATATATAATTTTGCTATAAACATTGTAATAATGTTTTATTTGCAATTTAAGTATTTGTATTGTATTGTATTGTATATTTGTAATTGATAATGCACAAAAGAGTCTAGTAAACCTTTATTTTTCACTTTAGAATACACACGACTTAATCAAGTTGGAAATCTATCAAAACGACAACAACAAAGAACTTATTGCGATCATGGACATCAAATTAGACAATGTTGACGTTGTTAGTTCAAGTTATCTTCTAGCAAGACCTATAATCACATAACTTGTATTAAACGTTTTGTATGTTTCCCCCCCCCCCTCTTTTTATACAGGATAAAAATGACAAAATCAAGTTGGAAATCTATCAAACCGACAAGAACAAAGAACCTATCGCGTTCATGGACATCGAATTAGACAATGTTGACGTTGTTAGTTCAAGTTATCTTCTAGCAAGAGTTATATTGATAAGTAAGACGAACATTTTCATAAATGTCAGGTAAGTTTTCTTTAGTTGTATGCTGTACGACTCGAATTGTAATTGTAATTGTAATTAGGGAGAAAAGTTTACCAAAATAGAATTGTTCATATAAAGGACAATTCGAAGTATACGTGCATTATTTATCAGACAATTATTAGAAAAATGAATGACTTACCAATGTTTAAACATCCGGAATCATATTTAAAACAGGTTTACATGGTATTAGAACGTTAACTCCATTACAAGTAGGTATTTGATAAATGTTTTGATTTGTGCATATAATCATTGTCTAGCGACATACAAACAAATGAAACCAGATAAGGATGTCAATTTGTTGTGAGATGAATTGTTTTGCTCACGACAGATCTAGATGCTGCTAAATTCTTGATCTGATATTTTGAGCAGCCCATTTTTTTCCTTGTTAGCATTTGATATATTTTCTTTCTTTTTAAGATAGAAATAAAGTAACAAAATTATTAAGTCTTCCCAGACATCAAAGAATGGTTGGTATGGGTCTATGTACAGAAGTTCTAAGCGTTCAATGGGTCACCCGTGGCCAAGTGGTTTAAGTCGTTCAAACCACTTGCCTCGCCGCGCCAGCGGATTCTTCGTGTGACAAAGCTATCCAGCTAGCTTACGGAACGTCGGTGGTTCTACGCAGGTGCCGTTTTGTCAGAAATTATGTACAGAGGGTCACCTGAGATCTTCCTCCACCAGTAAAGCTGGAAAGTCGCTATATGACCTATACTGTGTTGGTGCGACGTTAAACCCATCATCCAAAAAGGAAATATAATCTTTTTAAATATCGACTTCAGCGTTCGGACAGTAACGTAATTTAGTGGCAAGTGAAGTGCGTTAAATGCTTTATATATCTTCTCCTTTTTTGCTTCTAAAATATAGGATGCGATGGCACTAATGACTTAAATTGTAAAGAATACCAATTTTTAGATATGCTGAATTATATATTTCATTTAAGTGTTGATATTGAAATAATGGTCTGGTGTTCTACTGGATTCTATGGTAAAGCTTGCAACGAGACATGTCCTACTGACAACATCAATTGCAACATTGGACAATGTATCGGTATGTATCTTACTGATTTATGAGGCAAACGTTAGATTGTAAAGACACTCTTTCATAATTATGGTCAAAGATCCAGTTGACATAATAATAACTATCTTACAGACGTTGTACATACTTGAAATAAAATAAAAAGTTATCGTATGTTCTACTATATTGAAAATCCGTGTTTTTTTTATTGTAAGAGATTAATTGGTATTGGTTCGACTGAATGATAAATGAATTAAATTGCATTATTCAAATGAATTACACTAAATTCTTAAATCTACCAACAGCGCTTTTTGAAAGATTGTTGATGTAGGTGATAGTACCTCTGTATATGAGCGGTAAAACACTGCGGCTGTCAAATGGGTTTTAATTTATCACGAAACTTTTGAGAGTTAGCTAACCAAATAACACGAGGAAGGCAATTGCTCTATTCACACAGAAAAGTCTTGGTAGTGCAGGGATACTCCCTTGCAGGCCGATACATTTATGTCTAGAAAATAATTTAATGATTCTGCTTGACATTTGTTTTTCAAGAGCTTGGCAACGTTATTATCGTAAATTATTAAGTAAATCGCTAGAGTAACTTTATGATAATGCTATATATTTGTAATCTTTACAGACTTACATACCATTAACCAAGATGCCTCGTCATTACAAATAGACTATCACTGTAGGAAAGGAATATGTAATCACGGTGTATGCCAGTGTCCAGATGGTTTTGCAGGGGAAAGATGTAACGTGGTATCAAACTATATACTTCCTTACAACAAAACGTATCATTTTTTGGATGACATAACAAGTAATACAACCTGTGAAGATGGATACAAGAACTTCAATTGCGACGAGAGAGATTTTTGTTACAATAATTTATGCAAACATGGGCGTTGTTCAAATGATGTGAACATACATTCGTGTGTATGTGATGACGGTTTTGAAGGATTGAACTGTGACAGGGACATTGATTATTGCAACACTGCCCCATGTCAGAACAACGCTACCTGTCTTTATGAACAAACTAATTATACATGTATATGTCGACCAGGATATACTGGACTAAATTGTGAGGAAGATATCAATTATTGTACAAATAATACATGCCTGAACAATGCAATCTGCATTGAGGAACAAACACACTATACATGTATCTGTCAACCGCGATATTCCGGACTAAATTGTGAGGTAGATATCGATTATTGTACAACCAATACATGTCAGAACAATGCAACCTGCATTGAAGAACAAACAAACTATACATGTATCTGCCAACCGGGATATACCGGACTAAACTGTGAGATAGATATCAATTATTGTACAAATATTACATGTCAGAACAATGCAACCTGCATCGAGGAACAAACACACTATACATGTTTCTGTCAACCGGGATATTCCGGACTAAATTGTGAGGTAGATATAAATTTTTGTACAAACAATACATGCCTGAACAATGCAGTCTGCATTGAGGAACAAACGAACAATACATGTATCTGTCAACCAGGATATTCTGGACTAAATTGTGAGATAGATATCAATTATTGTACAAATAATACATGCCTGAACAATGCCACCTGCATTGAGGAACAATCACACTATACATGTATCTGTCAACCGGGATATTCCGGACTAAATTGTGAGATAGATATCAATTATTGTACAAATAATACATGCCTGAACAATGCCACCTGCATTGAGGAACAAACACACTATACATGTATCTGTCAACCAGGATATTCCGGACTAAATTGTGAGGTAGATATCAATTATTGTATAAATAATACATGCCTGAACAATGCCACCTGCATTGAAGAACAAACAAGCTATACATGCATTTGTCAACCAGGATATTCTGGACTAAATTGTGAGATAGATATCAATTATTGTACAAATAATACATGCCTGAACAATGCCACCTGCATTGAAGAACAAACAAGCTATACATGTATTTGTCAACCGGGATATTCCGGACTAAATTGTGAGGTAGATATCAATTATTGTACAAATAATACATGTCAGAACAATGCAACCTGCATTGAAGAACAAACAAACTATACATGTATCTGCCAACCGGGATATACCGGACTAAACTGTGAGATAGATATCAGTTTTTGTGCAGATAATACATGTCAGAATAATGCTACCTGCATTGAGGAACAAACTAGCTATACATGTATCTGTCAACCGGGATATACTGGACTAAATTGTGAGATAGATATCAATTATTGTACATATAATACATGTCAGAATAATGCAACCTGTATTGAGGAACAAACAAACTATACATGTATATGTCAACTGGGATATACTGGACTAAATTGTGAGATAGATATCAATTATTGTACATATAATACATGTCAGAATAATGCAACCTGCATTGAGGAACAAACAAACTATACATGTATCTGTCAACCGGGATATTTCGGACTAAATTGTGAGATAGATATCAATTATTGTACATATAATACATGTCAGAATAATGCAACCTGCATTGAGGAAACAAACAAACTATACATGTATCTGTCAATCGGGATATACTGGACTAAATTGTGAGATAGATATCAATTATTGTACATATAATATATGTCAGAATAATGCAACCTGCATTGAGGAACAAACAAACTATACATGTATCTGTCAACCGGGATATACTGGACTAAATTGTGAGATAGATATCAATTATTGTACATATAATACATGTCAGAATAATGCAACCTGCATTGAGGAACAATCAAGCTATACATGTATCTGTCAACCGGGATATACTGGACCGAATTGTGAGATAGATATCAATTATTGTACATATAATACATGTCAGAATAATGCAACCTGCTTTGAGGAACAATCAAGCTATACATGTATCTGTCAACCGGGATATACTGGACCGAATTGTGAAAATTACACCGAGATTTGTTCTGAGGAATCATGCAAAAACAATGGCACATGCGAAGTTATTGATGGAGCTTTTATTTGTCAATGTCCTTTTGGCTATACAGGCAAACTATGTGAATCTGTATCAATTTCATCTTTACAAACGAGTACGTATAAGATTATTTATTTATTTCAAAAGCATCCGATCATTTTATGACTATAACATAGGTACATTGTAAGAATAAGAATGATATCCCTTTGTCTTTTTAAAAATGTCTAAAACTTTTACATGGACTTTCATCACAAATCCGAAGGGATCACTTTGTTTCCAGATTTTAATACAAAAAGGTCTTAATACAGGTCGTCAAAAATGGATTGTGAAAGTAATACTATAGCAATTCGTCATGTCAAATATCAGTTACAAAGCAACTTATTTGAAACTTAAGTATAGGGTATATTAGTATTGTCTGTTGATCTTTACGGTTGCTGGCGATATTCTGATGCATAGATGCTATACAAGTAAGATGTGAAGTGATGGTTTGTTAGCGGGTAAGGTCGCTGAAATCAGATTACATTTACTATTTTTTCATTCTATTTTTTCTTACATGATTGAAATCTACAAATGGTGTTTGGATAGGCACTTCATATGCAAAATGTTGGCATTTTTTGTTTGTTTCTTTCTTTGTATGGTGTTACTTGAAACACATGAGCAATTACTATGATATATGTAGGGTGTTTTTGCATTTCTGTTCTACAATTTAAAACAATATGCCGCGTCACGACAAAACCAACGTAATGCGTTTGCGACCAGCATGGATCCAGACCAGCCTGCGCATCCGCGCAGTCTGATCAGGATCCATGCTGTTCGCTTGCAAACACTATAACAAGTAGAGAAACTGATAGCGAACAGTATGGATTCTGATCAGACTGCGCGGATGCGCAGGCTGATCTGGATCCATGCTGGTCGCAAACGCTGCTCAAATGTGTATTGTTTAAAGGAGACGCTATAGACGCAGGTTGCACAGGATCTGGTTGGAATATAACTGTTAATATAACTTTACTGAAACAACTGGATCCGGTGATAGTTCTAAATAACATACATTTTGGGGATAATGCGTGTGGTGGCAAAGAAGTCGGGAACTTGTTGTTGTTCCAGCAAGGATTTCAAGAGTGCCTTACAAATAAACAGGTATGCTCTGTTAACCATTGACCTTCTGGTACTAAATGTGAAAGACCTTTGCTTGAAGCATAGAGCCAGTCCAGTCTGCACATAACGTTGGCCAATCAAATTTTGTATCTGATATAAGACTACCTTTAAACCCTATTTGGAATTCAATGCACGCAAATCTATAACGTTAAAGATCAAATGAATTCCAAACTTATATTCACAGTCTTAGAAATTGGGCACTTGTTTCACTCTTTCTCGTGTTCTTACAAAGTAATGTTCATCATATTTGATTTTTGCTTCTTTTATTGCAAGAAATACTTGTAAATTATGTACTTTGTCTTATTTCTCAAGACCACGTACTAGTTTCTTTATTTCATAATCAAATTGAAGAAACACAGAAGTAAATCCCAAAGGAGAGTACTATTATTATAATAAAATATGATACTTTGCTCTGGATTATTCATCGGCCAGAAACCGGAAAATATATTTTGTAACTTTCTTATAGTTTCACTTTGTTTTTAATCTACTATTATATAATTTTCCAAATTTAGCAATTTATGTTACACTAATGCTTAATGCAATATACAAAACAAATTTATGAAATACATCAAGATTTATACAATGATAAAGATAAAAAAATACTTCAATATTTTCACATATTGTTTTGTTTTGTGAAGCGTAATATGAGTTCTACTCGCTGTCAAGATTATAGATATTAATTTTCTATTTCTTTTTAAACAATGATCAGATTTACTCACCATTAAAGGTGTAGAATTGGTGTTAAAATACCAGAGGACTAACATTACTTAGTACTAAGATTGTATCACTGAATACAATATACATATAAATCATCTTAATTCGATACATTATACATGTAGTTTTAATAGAACTTGTATTGTATTTTATGTTTCTAATAAAAAGTAAAAGTGTGGTACGATTAAAAAGACAGAACTATTTTGATAGGGAAATTGTTGCAGATAATTATCATAAATATTGTTGTTTTTTTGTGATTCGCAGATATCTGGTAATATGCTACTGTACATAAATGATCTATTCTACGTGATTTATGATCCCATCAACCCGTATATAATTCGACGACACGAATGGACGTTCACAGTTCAGTGTGACGTCGATAGGAATGAGGCAGCGTCATCGCACGTTCATCATGACGCCAACACACAACATATAGAAGTTTCTGGTCAATATCGGATAGATTTGGCTTTTTATAAAGACGTAAATTTCATGCAAGAGTTACCAGGAAATCCGCTACATATTAATCTTGGAGACGACATTTATGTTAAAGTGTACACTATGGCAAACGACTGGACAACAAAAATGAGGCTACACACATGTTACACGACGCCAAATGACGCCGCGGGAAAGAATATGACCTATTTCATCATCAAAAATGGGTAAGCTTTTTGACATTTTTACATGCAATATATTGATACCCGAATTGCATACCATAATCTTTTTTTAATTATTAGTTGGTGATGATACCTTTTTAATATCATGTTTTACATTGTATTAAGAGAAGCATCTATGAGTAAGTAATTCTTTCAAGAATTACTGGCGAATATATAAAAAAACTGATGATGAAGACCAATTCTACGCCATTTTTCTTTTAAATAATACTGTCAGTCAAAGTTTTGCATTATTGTTCATTTATTGATATTTTTTAGGAACTTTCTATTGTCAATGATTGGGATACTTAGATGAAAATTTATTGTCAGTCGGCCAACAGTATAGACAGAGCTTTATCGGGATGTATGGAAGATTCAGGCCGGTCTGGCTCTAGCTCTATACCTGGTGTCTTTTGGTTCAAAATGGGTAAGGGATTAATTGTTATTGATGTGTTATCGGATTATATTACAGGTGTGAGGTTGACAGCAATACCCACATTATATCACAGTCGACACACGAGACCAAATTTGTATTCCAAGATTTTGAATATTCCACCAATCGGGAAGGCTTAGATATCCACTGCAACGCTACTTTCTGTGATACAAAAGACTACTCGCCCGGATGTGCCCAGTCCTGTGTATTACCTTGAACTATTTATTGACTGATTCTATTTTATCACATTTTGATTAGATTCTAATATATATTATATGTGTATGAATGAAAAAAAATATTTTTACAAAAAAAATGAAATAATATGGCTGTGTTTGTGTAGTATGATGTGGAAAACATTTTTCTAATACATCAGATTCTTTACTCAACTGATGATTATCACACTTAACAAACTTGTTTGCTATTTCGTCAGCTGAAACAGTTTAATATGCTCTCTTAAAGGAACTCAACTGAGGTCCAAAAGTTTAAAAAGTATAAAATTTGAATTTCTTATTTAGAACATTTGAGCATATCAAACAAAAGGGTATACAAATGATAATGAAGAATTATTCTCAAATATAAAGTAAATCGTATTTTTTTATTTATTTTTTTTGCTCAATTGTAGTGAAAAGCGTTGCAACGCTTTTCAATTTCAAGTCATTTTTTTCCAATTACAATAACTATCCTGGATAAAAACGAAGTGAGCGAATGATCTGAAACTGTGCACACAAGTTATTGTCCTAGACCAATATAACATGGTATTTAAAACCTACGAACTGGGGTGCATGACTTATAGCAAAACTGAAACACATATGGACATAACTTCAAGTAAAAGGCTGTTGATCTTGAAACGCACAAGTCCAGTTGATCATTTTTACAAGAGCCATTGCCTCGCGGGGCCCATGCTCCACTTTTTCCTGTTTCTAAGGAAGAATATAATGGTAAAGAGTACTCCTTCAAAACAAAAAAAAATTGTTATAGATAAAATTGAAATTTCATGTTTGATCTTGATGGTCAAGGTCATTAATTCAATGTCACTTTTAAAATAACCATCATGTCAAGTGCCATAAATAAATAACAACAATTTAATGTTAGTAATTTTATCAATTATCAGGGAAAAAGTAAACCAATGTGATTGTTATCAAATTTTAGGAAGAATTGTAATATAAACAATTACAGAAATGTTTCTGTTTTAGTATAATCTTTTACCATTGAAATGCTTCATGTTATAGGGTGGCTTCTGGTGCATTTTAGGTCAATATTTTGAAATAGAAGTTCTACATATTTTTCACCCCATTTCAGAACGTGCAAGCTAGGGTCTTAAATTCTAGTCGATCTGAAGAAAAAAAAAACGCTACAAAATTAATGAAATAGATATTGTTTTTTTCCACAAAGACAAGTTAAAATTATGGTCGTGAAGTACGCGGGCTAACGGGCTGACAGTCTGGCGCGGCTAACAGTGTGAACTGGGCGGGCTAGCAGTCTAGCGGGCTAACAGTGTGAACTGAGCGGGCTAGCAGTCTAGCGGACTAACAGTATGAACTGAGCGGGTTGGCAGTCTAGCGGGCTAACAGTGTGAACAGGGCGGGCTAGCAGTCTAGCGGGCTAACAGTGTGAACTGAGCGGGCTAGCATTCTAGCGGGCTAACATTGTGAACTGAACGGGCTGGCAGTCTAGCGGGATAACATTGTGAACAGGGCGGGCTGGCGGGCCGGAGGGCTAACAGTGTGAACTGGGCGGGCTAGCAGTCTAGCGGAATGGCAGTGTGAACTGGGCGGGCTGGCGGGCCAGCGGGCTAAAATCTAAAACTTTATTGATTCAACATAAAAACCTCATGATACATTTCCTAGCAGTGTAAATTGGACGGGCTGACAGTGTAGCCGGCTAGCAGTGTGAACTGGGCGGGCTGGCGGGCCAGCGGGCTAAAATCTAAAACTTTATTGATTCAACATAAAAATGTTATGATACATTACCTGGCAGTGTGAAGTGGGCGGGCTAGCAGTGTAGCGGGCTAGCAGTGTGAACTGGGCGGGCTGGCGGGCCAGCGGGGTAAAATCTAAAACTTTATTGATTGAACATAAAAATGATATGATACATTACCTGGCAGTGTGAAGTTGGGCGGGCTAACAGTGTAGCGGGCTAGCAGTGTGAACTGGGCGGGCTGGCGGGCCAGCGGGCTAAAATCTAAAACTTTATTGATTGAACATAAAAACGTTATGATACATTACCTGGCAGTGTAAAGTGGGCGGGCTAGCAGTGTGAACTGGGCGGGCTGGCGGGCCAGCGGGGTAAAATCTAAAACTTTATTGATTGAACATTAAAACCTCATGATACATTTCCTAGCAGTGTGAAGTGGGCGGGCTAACAGTGTAGCGGGCTAGCAGTGTGAACTGGGCGGGCTGGCGGGCCAGCGGGCTAAAATCTAAAACTTTATTGATTGAACATTAAAACCTCATGATACATTTCCTAGCAGTGTGAATTGGACGGGCTGACAGTGTAGCGGGCTAGCAGTGTGAACTGGGCGGGCTGGCGGGCCAGCGGGCTAAAATCTAAAACTTTATTGATTGATCATAAAAACGTTATGATACATTACCTGGCAGTGTGAAGTGGGCGGGCTAACAGTGTGAACTGGGCGGGCTGGCGGGCTAAACTCTAATACTTAATTGAATCAACATTAAAACCACATGATACATTTCCTAGCAGTGTGAAGTGGGCGGGCTAGCAGTCTAGCGGGATAACAGTGTGAACTGGGCGGGCTGGCGGGCTAAACTCTAATACTTAATTGAATCAACATTAAAACCACATGATACATTTCCTAGCAGTGTGAATTGGGCGGGCTAACAGTGTAGCGGGCTAGCAGTGTGAACTGGGCGGGCTGGCGGGCCAGCGGGCAAAACTTTAATACTTAATTGAATCAACATTAAAACCACATGATACATTTCCTAGCAGTGTGAAGTGGGCGGGCTAATAGTTTAGCGGGATAGCAGTGTGAACTGGGCGGGCTGGCGGGCCAGCGGCCTAAAATCTAAAACTTAACTACATGTAATTGAACATGAGAACGTTATAATACATTGCCGGGCAGTGTGAAGTGGGCGGGCTGGCGGGCCGGAGGGCTAACAGTGTGAACTGGGCGGGCTAGCAGTCTAGCGGAATGGCAGTGTGAACTGGGCGGGCTGGCGGGCCAACGGGTTAAAATCTAAAACTTCACTGATTGAACATGAAAACGTGATGATACATTTGCTAGCAGTGTGAAGTGGGCGGGCTAGCAGTGGAGCTGGCTAGCAGTGTGAACTGGGCGGGCTGGCGGGCAAGTTTTAGATTTAAGCCCGCTGTTAGCCCGCTAGGCTGCTAGCCCGCCCAGTTCACACTGTTAGCCCTCCAGACTGCTAGCCCGCTCAGTTCATACTGTTAGCCCGCTAGACTGCTAGCCCGTTAGCCCGCGTACTTTACGGTCATGTTAAAATTCATGTTTCTACAATATTCTAGAAAAACATGCAAGAGCGTTAAATGCCAGTCATTCTTTCAATGGCTTCTGGTATATTTTCGGGTACACATTTTGTAATACACGTGTCTACATTTTCCAGAAATACACCGGTGTTAAGTACTACCCTTTTTACGGAACTTTCACTTCGTACTAATTACGCTACCCGAGTACATTATCGTTAAGGTACTGAAAAGTAGTGGAACATACGCTGGTGAGTACACCAGAAGGCCTATAAATGATGCTGCATAAACAGGACATTTAAAACAGGCAGGAGAAGGGGTTAGACCAGTGCAATATAGGTTTAGCAACTGTGTACGCGTCTAATAGAATAGGTATGGTTCTAAACAATGTGTAATGAACTCTTTATTTCAAACCACCAATTAGAAACCAGATTGAACTAAAGAAATCGCAAAATCAACAGTGTTTGTATTAAATTAAAGATAATGTTGCACCGAGTACAATATAGATTTGATATGGATCATTTAGGCTCAGAAAATGAAAAATATGCTAGAAAGAATACAAAATGCATTTGATATGACTTAATTATTAGTCTCTGGAAATTAAAACGAGGCTAGAACATGTACGTAGAAGGAGTACAATATGCATTTGATATGACTTTATTATTAGTCTCTGGAAATTAAAACGAGGCTAGAACATGTACGTAGAAGGAGTACAATATGCATTTGATATGTATTTTGACGGGGGGGGGGGAATTAAAACTGAGGCTAAAAGTGATAAGATTGGATCCAATAATAATTTTTTATGGAATATCACAATATTGAAACTGCCGGATGTTTATTATATGAGATGTAAAACAAATAAATGTATTTATTGTTATATAGTACATGTAGTAACACACTGACTTAACATTTCTTGCCTTAATTTCCTGGATAATGGTTCTGAAACTGCTTTATTTATTTAGTCACTTGGTGATTGGTTGTCTCCATTTTTTTTGTATAGTTAATTTTAAAATCAACATGATTATAAATATTCCCTAAACGGGAAGAAAAAAGTTGAAATGAAAGTGAAAACCATCTTTTTGAATCATACGCAGTTCATTTCACTATTATTGTTGTTCATGTTTTTTTTTTTTTTTTTTTTTTTTATTTAACAAATAAGAATTCAGGAACGCTCGCGTTTGTTGTCGCTTAGATTCATGGTAAGTTGCTTGTTGGTAATTATCATCTTTCAAAAAAAAAAAGGAAATAAAATGTCCGGGGTAACAAACCTATCTGATGTTTTTATAATATGTTAAGCTTTAAATTTCATCTAAATATATATCGCAGGTGCTTAATAGCTAAAGTGTACAAATATAGTCGTATGTATACAATTTTGCTATTATTTCCGATTAAACGTTTCAACAGATCAAAAGGCCTCCAGATTCGGGTTATTTTTAGTAAAATGTTTTGAAAATTGTTGTCATTAAGCAAAACAACATGAAGCGTTATTGTAGGTATAAGGATTAGACAAAGCATAAAAAATATGAGTTAGGCGTCAACATTTGAAATAACCCTAATGGTAACTCCGAAATTTGGTTATATAAATAAAAAGAGAAGATACAATTGTTGTTGTATTTGCATACGATATAGAAAGTGTGATGAAGGTTAAGCATTTCAATGGATTTCTTAAACAATATACAATGTACTATCAAATTTGTAAAGTTTCACTTTTCAAAATACGTGTATGTTTGTTCACAATTACGAAGCAATCGTAACAACTCGGCAATCTCCGTCAAGTTCGGAGATCGCCCGAGGTGTTCCGATTGAATTACAAGGGATGCTCTCCTTTTTCTGCTGACAAAGGAGTGTCGTAACGAGAAATAAACTTCCTACATTATTGTTTAAATTTTTATTTTGTCAATGATTTCAATAGATACATAACGGAAAGATTAACTTTTTGTACGATTATTTTGTTTAATACCATTTGATGGTCTTCTAGTACATGAGACATACTTGTACATAGTAACCACCCTTTTGTTAACATAGATAAATAACACCATGGAGGAAAGGGTGGCCAATCTTCTGGAGAAACAGCACGAAATTTCCATGCATCTTCTACCAGTTATAATATGTATGGTGATATTAGGTATATCCG